GAGGGGGGGGGGAGTCAACTCTCCTAAATGACCTGGAATTTGAACTGGATGACACAATTCTCGAAATATGTTGATATACGTGTTAGAACAAGGAGCCCCAATCGAGCACAGTGTTGACATAGACTTGAAAGCGTAAAGTGTGTAATTTGAGAATTGGAATAACAAGGTGGAGAGACCTAGATTTCAAGGCACTCCTAAGTAGCGACTTCAGCAGAAGCTGAAATTGTTAATGTTTCTAGAATATATGTATATGCGAATACATCAACTTCAAGGGTGCTAGATGGGATCTATTTAAAAGTAGTATTGTAGGAGGCTATTGACGTACCTTAACCCGATGAAGGTGCACTCCATAGAGCGCTAAACGGCGTGCATTTTCCAAGAACATTCGGTCTGCTTGTTCAGGAGTTCGGCCTCTAGAAATGAACATTAGAAATATAATTAAACGGTATTCTAATTTTAATTGAAGGAATATATTGAAGGAGAAGTTCGAATTATTCGCTTATAACAATTATCTAACGTAGTAGATATTTCTGCCTTTCTGTAATGGCTACTGTACGTGAAATAACTTCTTGTTATTTATCTGAGGTAACTAAAGGTCACCGTGTTGATTCCCATATATTTCAAATCGACATTGCGGCAAATTTCCAACTCGGGCAGGGTTTCATATGAAGGCTGAAAAAACGGAGTATATTTCATTATTCATTAGTTAGAAATCTTTTCCCGCATTAGTTATATTGCTGAAGCTGGAAAAGATGTTTCACGTACCCGCAGAACTAATCTAAAGCTCTAGGATCCCAGATCAGTATTTCTTCGAACCTATGGAAATAAAATTAAGCATCATTTCTTACTTGTCCAACCATCAACGCTAAGTGATTTAGTTTCTGGTGACGTATTTTTACTCTCCATCAGCGTTAATTAAAGCTTTCATTCAAAAATTACAACAAACGCTATTAGAGGTAGGAATCAGATTGAATTTGAGACTATTTATTTTAAAATTTAAAATAACGATGAGTAAATTCCCCATGACATCCCATTGTGGACAGATATCGATAAGAACTGATGGCTATCTTGATATGGTTGTTTTGTCTATCAGCTAAATTTGCTATTGTTGTCCCCTTAAAAACGTCATTAGAAGGAAAAATGGTCAATAATTACACTGGAGGTTCCACTCGCCTGAAAGAGTTTATTCGCTTGCACATGAGCCCATCCAAGTGCCCATATTTATCGATCGCGATTGTAATCCTCACTCCACTTTTGTTAATTTGTGAGCCCTTATTGGTTAGAGAAAAGATCGACGCGCATCATTCTCTTTAATTCATCATTCATTTTGTCCTTTTAGGCAATTGATTAAATGAAAGGCTCTATTAGGGTCTCATTCAAACAAGAAACAGATCACATTTGCCCTTTTAAATTAAAATGTAATATTTGTAGCTCAAGTGTGATTCGTAGATTTAAATTTACCAGTTAACACTAAAGTAACTCATGAATGACAGCCATTTAGTTAATATAATTAGTTCCTACCAATTGCTTTATTTCAAATTATCTTTGAAATCAAATAATCAGATTACTTCGCAAATACAAAAACACTTCATAAACACAGATGTCTACTTGGGATTACAGCTGCTGACAAGAACATTAGGACAGAATGTGACGGCCATTTTCCTCTCAGGAGAGTGTTTAAATTCTTTACAGACAATAGTAGTATAAAAACATGACGCAAGTAAAAAAATCAAGTCATCAGAAGTGTGAAGAAACACAGGAGCAAAAGAAACTGCCTGTTTGGATACTGAGAGTGCGAGAGACTTTTCAGAAATTGCAGGGGTGCTGGTAGTGTTATATTTCACAAAAATTAACTGAAAAACGAACAACCAACATGTTCGTGTGTATGTGCACACAGCCTGAATTGTGGAAATTGTAGCACAGGGGAGGGAGAGAGATTGAGTATGATTCAACATTAGGTCATTGTGAGTGCTTCAAGGATGCTCGTGAATTGTTATTCTTGTCGCACATTGCGGTCAAAACATGACTCAATCCTGTGTGCATGATTAAAATTTCTTTCGGGATTCTGCAACAAAGCCATGCTGAAAATTCACACACATACACACACACACACGAATATCTCTTTGCAATCCACTCAATTCAGCTCTTACATTGATTACTAACTTCAGTAATCTAGCTGAAATCCTTATTGAAATACAAAGCTAGAGGTACACTGAAAAACCTGATAAAATATGTGCTAAGTGAATTTGTCCATTAACATTGAATAATACTAACACTCCGGTTTAAGTTTTTTCCATATGAATAATACAGGTAGATAGCAAATGACTTTCGAAATATCAATTTGTCATCGAATAGAAGGAGTTAGAAGAGTTCAAGTAGAAATAGGCGACGGTAATTCGCCTAAGGTGGATGAAACTTTGAGTGATAAAGAAAAGCTCCCCAATTATTATCATTATTAGCATATTTCACTTTGAGTACACACTATTGAGCTCTCCTATGCTCAACAAATTAGTTGCTTTCACTCTATCCGGTGTTTGCTTTCATGAGATAACATGACCAGACAGAGAACATGAATGCTACTCAGAACTCTACTGAACAGAACCCTTGGTTTCGAAATCTGAAACATAATCGATGGTAATGCCACCATCAATAAATGTAGAAGAAATAAGGTAAATAAAGGTCTTTAGAATCTTGGAATTTAGAAATAAATACAGTTCCGTTTTTTCTCGTTTTTGTCCATAACGAACATCGAAAATTGTCTCGCGGTTATAAATAATACGATTTCATTACTTTTGTGTTTCCACCTGCAAGTTATAACAGTCTAATTGTCAGGAGCAAAATATTTGAATTATTCATATGGATGTATATATTTGCACGAAATATGTATTTATTGAAGTATCAGAGATTATGATAATAGCGTTAACTTCCTGGCATTAAAAGGGGTACTTGGACATAAGTGTATTGCAATTGGCAGTGTTTTGAAATTGCCAGCAAATTGGCCTCTCTTAAATCAAACAAAGGCTCTATTTAAATAAGTCTGCAGTTTACATGATTGCAAGTGGTATTTTTCTTAAGTTGAACTCGAGTATTTACGTGAGAAATGCTAAAAGTAAAAAATCCGTGTTAAAAAGTGACAACCATGCAGTGCGTTAGATTAATTAAATTTAGTAGTAAGAGTATGTGCCGTTCTATGACTGCGGCAGTTTGATCCACTGATTTCATTACCTTTAGGTGTATTCAGTGCTAAAAGCGGTCAGACTTAAAAAAGGTGATTTGAAAATTGTCTCCAGAGGCGTGATAGTACTAAGTTTCTAAGGGCCAAAAGACAAGTTTATGGAGACTTGAAGGGACTCTAGAGCTGAAGGTAGGAACGATTCGTACTCAGACAAAGTTGAGATTCAGTGGGACAACCATTTTGTTGGCCTGTTGTTTTCATCAGGCAAATATTAATATACTAGAGGGTGTTGACAATACCGATGGAAAAGGGAGGTTAGAACTTCAGAGTAAAAGCAAAACGAAACCTCATTTTTGACTATTTTATGAATTATGCAAACGAAGAAAAGCTATGTAATAGTTTGAAAAGATGCGTAGGCCTACTCTACGAAAATTAAATTAACCATGGGAATTATTTACTGATTTCTAGCCATTCCGATTTCCAAGTCCTCTTTTAGAAGGCCTTCCTTCCGTTTATCTTAAAAATGAACCGCATTGTTAATCATGTATCTGTAATTTAAAAGCGTACAAGGTTAAGGACAATAAAATGTTCACTGAGTTGCAATCAGCATGTGTGTATCAATATTATTTTCAAAACGTACCTGTTCTTCAATTTACAAACAAGCATTCAGCCTTTATGTTAATTGTTGTATAAATCACTAAATAAAACATTCTTAAATTTGGAATTCCTTTATTGGATTATTTATTATTATTATTACTTATTTATTTATTATTACAATTCCCAGGTTGCCCAATGATATATTAAGCGATTAAATGTCAAATTTCTGAAAAATACGTCCATTAAATACGAAATTTGTAGCGATATATCGTATATTAACTATCTTATCAAAACAGTAATTATTTGGTTCCCAGACACAAATAGTATATTATTATTACGGTTCTTGTAAATCATTTCAGTAGCAGCAAAATCTCGGAAAACTTCGGTTCCAAGTTTGCTACAAATCGTGCTACTGACGAGAGTTCCTGACACTCGTCACCTCTTCCAATGACTGCAAACAATCAAAGCAAATTAAATTAAAATAGAGTAGTAAAATCTTTATTAATTACTTTGTAAACTAGCTGCTAGATTACCTAAACCATGTTTAAAACATTTTTTTAAAAATGGCATCCAGGTACCCGTGTTTCGGAAGTAGAAGAAATTGCGGGAATGTACGATCTTGCTTTCCCGCATTTTAGATCTATTTGCTACTGTAAGGCGATTGGGTTAGCCCAAAATTTTCAACTTGCTAATGTTTTATATAGACAATGGAGCTACCTTGTACTTAATGCTTCGGACTAGGCTTATTAATGGAGATTAAATAAAACTAAATTACTTCAATCGTTGGTGTAGTTCAACAATTCTAACAAGCATTTCGGGAGTTTGAAGATTTTTCGGTGCGAAGGGAACATTATAGAGGTATTCAATTCCTGTATGAACCTCTGCATCCCAGTCTCCGGCCTCTGATTGGATGACGTAAGCTCCGAGTATGACGTAGGTATTGAAAGAACACGGTAATCTGAAACGAAAAAGAATGTATGTTAAATGCTAATTCAATACCAATTAATCAATATTTCAGTTGTGTGATTACCACAAAGCCTATTTGAGATTTTGTTGTACTAGCCGTTGATACTTTTATTTAATCACACTTGAATTTAATTATAATGCATTTACCCATTTGTTATATAGGCTATAATATTGTTCTTGGAGTGCGCGATAGACTTACCTCCACGTGGGGCACTCTAGTCAACGTATACTCATACAGCAAAAATGTCCTTAAACCACCAGCTGACTTCTGACTTCAAATTTCCATGACCCAACTCTATGCCATATTCCACCACTTTCATAGTACTCACCTTACCCTTTTCTCTACCTTTGTATCTATCCGTCTCTTTTACATTTGTGAATCAATCTTCTGTTCCACTCCTCGACTTTGTACGGCTTTGATGATAACTATCATGTAACCTGCCATTTGATACAAACAAACATTGTCCGAGGAATATTAACGTTTACAATGCCTTCATTTGTAGAGGCTCAATAAAGAGTTGGCAGACGATCTTTAGTTCGACGGTCTAGTTGATCAGATGATACTACTACTTGTATAGATTTAAATGCTTACAGTTATTTGGCAGACTAAATTAAAAATTCATGTACTACCATCGATTAATTAGATTCTTGATGAATGAATTCCACCTAGATCATCGATAATGTCCACATCTCCTCCCACTACTTTCTATTGAGCATCAAAAGGAAGACAAGTAAGTGAAATTAAAATTAGTGTTGTTTAAAGTGCTCAATTAACGAAAGGGATTGGGTGTGTGCGTGTGTGTGTATGTGAACGACTTTTTTCCGTCAAGCGTACTGATTGGCCTACTGGATCTAACGTGATATTTCATTTGCATCTCTTTAGAGGCAATGAATTAATGAGATGGGCGGGCGATTCGAGAATAAAGGAAAGAGCGAAAGTGAGTTGGAATCTTCCGATATGAGGTGTAATCAAATTAAAGCCAAATCAGATAGACCTGCATGCGTGCACCCGTACACAGAAATCATATTTTAATCTCTTGAGTTGTCAGCCAGTACAGTTATTAAGGGTATCATTCGTTGTTTTGAATGTGGCGAAGTATGATGGATAGAGAAGCTATTTACCAAGTAGATTTAGATGCTGACTCTTTAACAAGCCCTGATTTCTTATGCGTATCAACAAAGATGAAGGAAAGAATTTCATAAACACATCAGTAAAGATAGGCTCTTCAAACACTTTTATCTCAGTTTTGGTTTGTCAATCTTTAAGTTACGCACAAAGGAGGTATTTGTGGGAGAATTTATAGCGAATTCGCTCAAAGTTAAAGACTTGGTATAAAGGTGCATCAAATTTGCTTAAATTTTCCACACTTCATTTGTTATTCATGCTACCGCAGACTTGAGTTTATTATTTTGGCAGATCAAACAATACAGAAAATTAAATTCTTCTTCAGGTGATGTAATTAAATCAAGTGAGTTTGGTAAAAAAACAAATCTTCAAGGCATAAAGTTCAAAAGAGCCGCCTTTATCCGGTCATTTGTGTTTGAGCACGTTTATGTTTTTTGGTAAACATTTCCCACCACCCGTCTTGTGGGATGCTTGAATGGAACCACCTTCATTACTGGCTAGATTTAATTCCTGTGGACAACAATTCCCCCCCCCCCCTCACCGGGAATGCGCTGATGGGCAATGAACGTCTGACTTCTGGCCTCAAAGCCTAATACCTTGACAACCGCGTGGCAGACAAAACTAATCAGGTTTACTATTTCCCTGACTAGCAGAGGAGATGGTACTAGTTTGCAAACAGAGCGATATCGAGAATGCACATAAGAAAATAAAACCAGTTATCAGTAATGAAAAGATGTAATTACTGGTACTATCAAATTGGGCAATGAATTTTATATCAGTATTAGCACCTGGTTTTACTATGCTAACTTCAATTAGGGGAGAGAAATAAGCAGAGAAATAACTGCAAAATTTCAATAGTTACTGATGAATAATTCAATGGAAGATATTATATTTTGAAATGGTCTGAAGGCTTCTATTTCATCGATGTAATTTTGCTTTCTAAAATGTAAAATGAGCTCCGAAATTTCAACGAAAGGGCCTACTTAAAAATTCCCAAAAGTGTTAAATTTCATTCAAGTTTGGGAAAAAAACGACTAAATTTCAAACACAATTGGGAACGGTGTCATTTTTTTTCTCCATTAATATTTAAGCATTTATATCTTTCGCGGTTGAAATAGAGCTCAAATTCTTTAAATCCATAACTATTTGTTTAATTCCTGGACAATTTACTAAAAATGGCGAATCGATTTTCAAACTTACTGGCCGCAAATCAGGTCCTGTCTAACTTGAAGGCAGAGGAAGTATCGGGTTAGATCATCTTTCAAGTACTCTGGTAGAGATGGGTAGAATTTGAAACGAAATTCGAACTTCCATGGATTTTCTACGCACAAATTACATGTGCATCAAATAAAAATGAAAATAGTTTATTACATTTTATATGCATATGCAAATTTTTAAAGAAATTCAAATAGACACAAGCTAATCTAAGACAGTGATATATATATAATCTATTATAAACTACTTATTATATTAATTGAATTATAAAGTAAATGCACTTTGAAATGACAGGAAGAATAGTATAATTTATGTATTAAATTCAACTACATTTAAAAGAAAAGGTTAACTAAATTTTCTTAATATAAACATCAGTAAGTTATCCACCAAATGCATAGATACAACGCAATCCCTCGGGGACAATTGAGAATCGACGGATTCAAAACGTACTTTCAAGTTGCTTGTTAATTTTTTCATCCATTTTCAGCCACATCTACAAAATGGAAAGAGGAGTATTCGTGAAATCATTATTACAAGCAGAGTCTTATAAAGAACTGTGGATATAAGGTGGCGAAAACAACTAATTATCAAGGCGTTCATTGTTATTTCTATAGCAACAGGAGATTGTAAATGGGACTAAGTAGGCAATAAATGAAAACAAAACTATTTTGGCAACACATTTTTTTCCTGAAATTCCTCTTAAAAATAAGTCAAAACTGCAAATGTAGGGTAACTTAAAAACAAAACATAAGTTGATTCGAGAGAGACACAGAGGGCTCGACCACTGTCGTTGGCATTTTCCCATAACATATTGAAAGATTGCACTGATATACCGCCGGAAATCATTCGTTCGGGAGGTACAAGTGGTTTGATAATTATTATTATTTCAAATGGCAGGCTTTGTGATATTTATCATTAGCCCTTAAACTTTGACTTCAGCTTCTCCCATGGGTGGGGGGGGGGTACATTTATAGCAGTTAATTAATAGCAGTTCATTAGCTGTCTTCTTGCTTCCCAGTATCTTTGGCTTTCTGTCCTTGTCTTTAGAGCTGGACACCGAATCAGGTGGGTCTTCTCCATTTCCTCATGTAGGTTACATAGAGGGCATGTGGGTTGAGTGTATACTCCCAGTCTGTGAAGGTGTTTTGCCAGGTAATCATGTCTGGTACGTAGTCTAAACTCAACAACGGCTTCGATTCTTGGCCAGTCGGCTATGTCGGAGAGTGCCACTGTCCACTGTTTCTCCTTTGTTCGAGCTGTAAGTTCGTTGCACCTTGAGATCTTGAATTCTCCTCTGATTAAGGCCAGTGGTTAGATAATAAACTCATGTTCTTGTTGCAACTCACTTCAAGGTGTTCCAATTTAAAATATAAATATTGATTCGCCTTGGCATTCAGGGAAGTGTTAAGTTCTATTTTATAACATTAATATGTCTAACTAGTTTGGACTCCAAAATTAGCCCTCCTGTCTGGATTTGGTGTTGTTTAAATTCTATGGTAACTGCCAGAACAAAAAAACTAACGGTTGTGGACACACATTCAAGACAAGGAAAAAGCAAATCGATTCGAAAATTTACAAGTTTGATATGTATGCATATCCATTATTTATAAATGGAAGGTATTATATACTTTTTCAAAATAATTAACATAGCATGACAATATCGATATTCTTCGGTATCTTACTGGAGATTAAGCACGATATCGTTGATACAAGAGTTAGTTATCAAACCCTTAATCGACCTTGAGATCGTACGACCGTCTTTCGAAATAAGCTCCATTGGTACTAGACTCGTAACAGAAGGCGCTATTGCCGTTCGAAACATGTTCATTACGTGTCTATAGCCTTCACCTGACACAACCAAAACTCGTGTCGGTGGCATCAGTCTACTGTGAGACACGCATGAGTGCGGTTGGGTGCATTTATCAAAAATTTATTCCGGAGTTATAGGTATAAGGAAAGAGTTGCGATGTTGTACCAATACACTAAAGTGCTATACACAAATAGTTTTACGTTAACCCTATGTTATCTATTGTGTGCTTTACAATGAAAAATTATGCCGGATCATATAAGTAGGATAGTAACTTGATGATTAGAGGAAGTAATATGAATTCAGTGTTATCGACCAACTATTAAAATAATAATATAGGGCAGTAAGGTCTTAACACTCGGAAAAATCATGGAATACTGAGAATATTCTGAAAAATTTGACGCTGCAAAATAAGAATGTGAAGCAGTGAACTAAATACGAGAAACAAGGGTCACACAACTTGAATTCAAAGGTCAAGTCATGGAAGACTTTCTTTGATATCCAGCTTCAATACCAACCTCGACTCAACCTCGCCCCCACCTTCCTCCTCCTTACTCACACTAAAAGCTTTCTCAAGAAGAAAGATTTGAAGTCTAACCTTGCGATAGGAGAAAGTGATAATAATATTCACTGGTCTAATTGAAAATGACATGCACTTGTCATTGTAATATGCAAAATTTTTATCTAATTAATCCAAACAAACTCAAAATTCATTTTCTTCGTTCACATTTCCTAAGAACATTTTATGACGACAACAAGGTGGAAGACATGTCTATTTTACAAGAGTGATCCACTAAGAGTTTGGTAACTAAGCTACTTATCACCTTCCTACCTGCAATTATTTAAATATTCATCTTTTAAATGATTTTATAAAACGCAAGCGACATAAAATTGGGCTTTAAATATATAAAAATAGTTGTTTTTTGCTTTTAATACAAAAGATAAAACAGAATCCATTGGAATTAGAATAATTTTTGTTGAAGAGAGATTCAGAGATTTGAGAGTGGGAATGAAGAGTTCCACATGCATAAGAGTTTAACGTAAACATTGATAGCCACAAAAAATTATTTTGCAACCATGAGAAAACTATGTAATGGGTGTTGATAAATTTCACCATTGTTGCTCACCCCAACTGAAAGGCGAGCCCTTCACAATTTTTTTCTCAGATTCGTGCTCACGAATCATCTTCACGGGCTTCAAGGTGTTTATTGGCACACACCCCCCTGCGTTGCGTATTCTGCTCCCACACAGAAATCTGCTTTCCACTTACAGATTGTCTTGTATTTACCTAATAAAGCATCCGATTATTGATCTTACATAATGGCCTTCTTGATGTTATCAGGTCCACACTGTTGATGGAAGATCAGCATTCTCAAAATATGGACCCCCTCTTATTGTGCTGACACTCTGCAGTAGCCGCAGAAAAACTCTCTCTCTCTTTCAACTTATTTCCAACTATGGGACTTCGTGAACTACCATAAATGGAAGATTTTGACGGATAGTGGGAAAAGGTATTAAATATTTCCTGCTGATTTCCTTAATGTTGCCCATCAGGGAGGGGAGTTCGTTGTTTTGACACAACGGGATTTGTGATTATTCTCTTGGAATTTGATTTTTCTTGGCATTTGATGGTTTTGTCTTTTATTTGACAGGAAAACTAAAAGTAGAAGGGCTGGGGTAAGAATGTGGGGGGAGGGAGGGGGGGTTAGAGGTGGGGGATGGAGGGGGGGGGGGGGAGGGG